ATTTATATTATATTTATATTAGATTTTATATATATTTTGCTTACATAATATGAGTACAATAATAATAACGAATAACACATATAATATATATATGTTATTTGTTATTATTATTATTAGTATTACTGTACTCATATAAGCATGCATAAGAATTTATCAAGTTGTATAATCATACATTATATAAATACATATTTTTTTTATTCAGAATTTGTTCTTTATTCTTTATTACAGTTACTTTGATGAGGTATAGTTTAAATTATGATATTTCTTCTAGTAATGTGGATTAATAACGAGTCCAGAGAAAAGCATTACGGCTTCTTCATTCAATGGGTCCATTTTTCTTACAATAGAATACACAAATGGACGGTTTATTACCAATGTTTCCTCGAAATTCAAAGAAAAAGCCTGTATTACAAGACCTGCAATATATACATAATCATTATAAAACATCGAAGGAATTTCATTGTCTATCTGTGAGACTCTTTCATTCATAGACGGAGTTGACATATCTCTCTTTTAATATTTAAATATTTAATATTGTATATTAGATATTATAGATAATGTCTAATAGATTTATTATAAATAACTTCTTGCAGTATTAATAATCTCAAAAGAACATTCAATACTAAAATGTGATGATATATTTTAATACTTCATATAACAAGCACAATCAGTGACAAGCACATAGTACATATAAGGCGTGTGTTAATTAAAACCAAAGTGAAAGACAATGTAAGTTACAAAAAAAGTCGAATATTTCTGCGAGAAGTCGAAAATAATTGTAATTCAAGACCGGCAATTTATCTCGCCTATGGGTGTAGAATTTTTGACTGATAAAAGGAGAAGGAGCAGAGTACAAAATGACTTTTTTTTATTTTTTATTTATTTTATGTTCTTTGTTATCATCCTCTTTTTTACAATTGCGAATTGCGACGCTCTGTCTAATAATCGGTAAGGGTCATTTATATGGCCGTAACTGTATATCATAATTTGTAAGAATTGATTAATCATGTTCGAATTCCCCTTTCATTCATTGAAAGAGAGGAATGCTCGATTGTGATTAGTTATTCCTAAAAGTTGTTTCTGCTATGCGCGCAGTTGTATTGCCACCACAAATATCGATCGGCATCCGCGCACATTTTAAAAATTCACAGTTGATTTTTAATCCAATTCTTGAATTCCTGTTTAGTGTGAATTTCCACACTAAGCTAAATTTTGTGCACCATGATTTCACATTATAGTTGTCGGACTTAATAATTGATAATTAATATTAATCGTCGATCAATGATTTCGAAGTTTTTAAAAACTGCTTCATCTTTTTCTTCCAAGGATATACAAGATCTTCACATCAGAATCGTAATTCTGTTATTTATACATCTTATATTTTATATTGTTATTAACAGTATGTCTACTTGTTTTTTTAGTCAACATCCATGTAAAATTACTCAGCTCTTTGAAGCGATCGTTGCAATTGAATTTTTAAACTTGTAGATTTCCGACGTTTGAATTAAAAGAATGTTTAGGAGAATATATTGAAAGTAACAAGAGAATGAGCACAGTGATAATATCATGTGGAAGAGATTGCGAGAAAAATTATTAAACTTTAATAAATTATTCTTGATTTTTATATTTTTTAAAATGCGATATTATATTTTTCAAGATTACGTCGTTTTGTTTTATACAAATTTCCATAATAAGCTTATTGCATTTTAAACCAATTAAAGAATGCGAATTTCAACTCTTTATTAATCTTTAACAAAATTTTGAAATTCGAAAAGCTCAATTATCAAAAGTAAAACGATTATTATGAATTTCAACGTAATTTGTTTTGTATCAGGATGCAAGAAACGATTATTAGTGATCGTTGCATCGCCAACTAGTAGCGCAATCATTCATAAGTTCATTGATTATTTAGTAATTTAGATTAATTTTATTTCTAAATCATCGAACTAATTTAATTTACTGACATATCCGGCGAACAGCAGAACATAGAATTCCTCTTCCCGTTTCGATTTAATAATGCCATACAAGAATGGATGATCAATATGAATCTCTTTGGTCGTCTGGTTGACAATAAGAGAATAATTCACCAACTCGACTTCTGAAACAAATCATTGATCTCAATAAGGCTTCATTTTCGTTTTATTTTTTCGATATCCCACAAACTTCGTGTTTTTTATGCGTTTTTGATTCCTGTAAAGGAATCATAGTATAAATTGCTCTCATGCTGCATGCTCTATTTCATATAAAGTTAGTATACTTTCCAAAAAAAAGTTAAACAAATGGGAAGTTTCTTGATATAATGAAATTAAAGAATAATATAGAGGATTACAGAATATTCTATCAAAATATATGTGTGGCAATAAATCCGATAATTGAGTATAACATTTAATTTCGCTTGAGTTTTCATCTTTTATAGTTTT